GACTCACATGTGAACCTAAATTTATTCTGCAATAAGCACTATACATTCATAATAATGCAAATAGTCAGCTAGTGAACTTTAAAGAGATTTTAGCAGAAATTTTAACAAGAAGACGATTAATTTAATTTGCATTTATAAAAATTTCAAACTAAATTAATCTTATTTCACTCTAGATATGTTGCTATTACTGCTCACAATTTTTATTTCATCAGTTTTGTTTGGAAATTTTATCCCCGTTGATATAAAGATTTTTTTATATTCAGTAAGCTTAAGCATCAAAGAGGTTCTAAGTTTTACAATGCCTTTTATTATTTTCTCTTTAATGTTTAATAGCATAAATAATTTAAAAAATGCGGCAATTAAATTTATCATATTACTGTTTGCAGCAGTCTTTGTGTCAAATTTGCTTTCAAGCCTGCTTGCTTATTTTACAGGATATATTATCATACAAAATTTTCATATCAACTCTAGCATGACACTACCACAAGATGTACTGAGCAGTTTATGGAATTTCAAGTTACCAATGCTAATCTCAAACTTTCAAGCCTTAATATTTGGAGTCATATCTGGAATTACTGCACATAAAATTGTGCCACACAAAAGTGATATGATTGCTAAAAGACTAGCAGGTATAGCATTTTTCCTTCTCAAAAGGATACTGATTCCTATTATGCCTTTATTTGTATTAGGTTTTATTTTAAAATTACAGCATGACCAAATTTTATTGGTTGTTTTTAAAGATTATATTGCAATCTTTACCATCATGATAGTTGTAATCTACCTTTATGTCATATTGTTATACGGGATTGCAAGTTCGTTTAATGTCACGAATTGGCTAACAAGCATGAAGAATATGGTACCTGCGTTAGTTACAGCAATTGCAACGTCATCAAGCAGTGCTACAATACCTGTCACTTTGGAAGGATGTAAAAAGAATGTCAAAGAACACGACATGGTAGATTCTATGGTTCCTGTAATTGCAAGTACTATAGCTAACCAAGATAAGGTTTACCTGATTTTTGAAAAATAAAATCAATAGCAGCGTTAATATTTGGCGAAAAAATTGGCAGTATTTTTCTGACGGCGTGTTTTATGGCAAACCAAAAATGTTCAATTGGGTTCAAATTTGGTGAATATGGCGGCAAAAACAGCACTTTACATCCTACTTTTTCAATCAATTTTCTGATTTTTACGGACTTGTGAAAGCTTGCATTGTCAAGAATTATGGTTTGCCCAGGCTTTAATGTTGGCACTAAAATTTTTTCAACATATGCTTCAAAAAGCTCACTGTTGCAATATCCCTCAAATGCACATGGAGCACCAACTTTTCCATCATTTAGCGCTCCAATAATACTAATTCTTTTTTTCTTAAATGCATGCTTTTCTGCAAATAATCTCTTGCCTTTAGGGGCCCATCCGTACGCATAAAACTCGTTGTTCATCTCTCTCTTGATAAAGGAAGGTTTTTTTTTATATGTGTAGCCAGCTTTTTTTAGATAATTATATGCTGTTTCTTTGCACATATTGCCAAATCTTTCTATTATTTTATCAGTCGTAACATCTTGTTCATCTTGTAGAAATTTGAAAAAACTGCCCATATCTTTAATCTTGCTCCTATGACCTGTTTGATAACCAGATGCTGGCTTTATGCTTCCAGTTTCCTCCCTTCTTTTTCGCCATAAATATATTGTTTTTATACTGAGTTTAAATGTTTCACCTATTTTTTTCATGGACATTTTTTTTTCATCAATAACCTTGAAAACACGTTCTCGCAAGTCCTCGCTGTATGGTTTGGGCATTTTTTACTCCATCTATTTATTCTTCAATCTACCATCTTACCATAAATTTTGTCTAGGTAAACCTTATCTTAGTTAGCTATAGCTCTCCTGGTAACTGTTTTTGTATTATTGTGCTAGCTTTAGTGATCATAGAATCTTTTGGCACTCAATCATTAACAATATGGAGCCACCTAAGTTTTTTGTTATACTTTCTTTTGTTGAAATTCACTGCTGCAGCACCAGGTAGTAATATAATTGTAGTACTGGGAATTCTTGAGGGATATTTGCATTTTTCTCCAGCCATGCTCTCGCTAATAACTGCAATTTACGTAATTATTAACCCTATCATCACTGGTGCAAATGTTACTGGAGATGGTGCATTGATTATCATATTTACTAAACTTTATAAAAAATTTCAAAAGCTCATATAGCCAGACAAATTCTCTTGACTGTTAAAACTGTAGGTTTTATGTTTAAAACAACAATGATAGGAGTATATGGAAATTTTTCTTGATAGTGCCGATTTAAATGAAATTAAAGAATTAAAAGAATTAATTGATGGTATCACAACTAATCCCTCATTAATTGCAAAATCTGGCCATAAAAATAAATACAAGGATTTAATAAGTGAGATATGTTCAATTATAGATGGACCTGTTAGTGTTGAAGTTGTTGCTGATAGTCATGAAGAAATGATGAAAGAAGGACTAGATTTGGCAAAAATTGCTGAAAATATCGTCGTGAAACTACCCCTTACATATAATGGATTAATTTCTTGTAAAAAGTTATCGACAGAGTATAATATAAATGTTAATATAACTTTATGTTTTTCTCCTGGACAAGCACTACTTGCTGCTAAGGCTGGTGCTTGTTTCATTTCTCCCTTCATTGGTCGCCTGGATGATATAAGTTACGATGGACTTTCCTTAATAGAAGATATATGCACTATGTATTCCAACTACATGTTCGATACTAAAGTTCTCGTTGCATCAGTAAGAAGCCCAGCACATATAATTAAAGCCGCAAAACTTGGGGCTGACGCAGTTACTGCGCCAGCCAAAGTACTAAGGCAATTAATGAATCATCCACTCACTGATCATGGGCTTGCAGTATTTGAAAAGGACTGGCTATAGATCCCAGCACACACACTGGGATCTACTTGCCTGGCTATATCAAATTTGCCCAAGCATCTGGAAGTGTATCGGTTGAGTCAATCTCTACTGTTGGTCTTCCTCCACTTGTACTACCAGCTGCAGCAAACTTATCTGCTAATTCACTTACAAGAATTGTTTCACCAGAACTATTATCCTTCACATTAAATATTGCTTTTGCCAATCCCACTCCGTTATCTGAATGGCTTACTGCATTTGTACCATCAATTTTAACAAACTGACCTACATCAACAGCACCAGTTTTAGCTAACCTTTCTTCAAGAATTGTTTTTTTAGGGTCATCACTGCTCTTAACATTAAGAATTGCTTTTAGCAATTTTGCTCCTTGATCTGCATTTGTACCATCAAGTCTAGCAAACCCATCTAAATCAGTTTTGTCAGCCTTGAGTGCCAATTTTTCATCTAATAGAATTTGAATAAGCGTTTTATTATTCGTTTTATCATCACTATTTGCAGCTTTCACAGCAAGTATTGCATCTACTAATGCTTTTCCTGCATCTGTATGATCTGCTATATTTGCACCATCAAGTTTAACAAATGTAGTTGTGTCATTCTTGTCAACTTTATTAGCCAAATCACTTGTGTTAGCCTTACCTTCTAAAGCAGTTTTGATTGTACTATCACTAGCAGTTGTTAGCTTGTTTGAAAATTGCGCTACATCAATATTATCACCAATTGTGTTGGCCTTAGTGTTTAATTGTTCAGCTGTAGCAAGCTTGCTTGCTAGTTTAGTTGAAAACTGCTCTACATCAATATTATCACCAATTGTGTTAGCCTTAGTGTTTAATTGTTCAGCTGTAGCAAATTTACTTGCTAATTTAGTTGAAATAGAATCTACATTAATATCACTACCATCTTTGTTAGCAAGTTTAGCTGTTTCTGCTGTAAGTTCCTTAGTCGTAACAACTTTGTCTGCCAACTTACCTAACATAGCAGCTACTCCAGTATCAGTGGCATTTGTACCATCAAGTTTAGCAAACTCATCTAAAGCAGTCTTATCAGCCTTCTTAGCTAATTGCTCAGCTGTAGCAAACTTGCTTGCTAATTTAGTTGAAAATTGCGCTACATCAATATTATCACCATTAAGTTTAGCAAGTTTACCTGCTAGTTTGTCGACCAAACCGTTTGTAAATTCTGTGTAATCTAATAATTCTTGCACGGTAACAGTGCTCAAATTAGTGTTAATATCTGTTGGTGTTGTCATGTTAATCTCCTTTAATTATAAAACTATTATATATATAAAAAACTGTGTAATTTCTGTTAACATTGCAGATCAGCTTGCAAAGCGAACGGTCATACCAACTTCCACGCCATGTGTACCGAAAAAGCTGCTCTTTAAATTAGTGGTGACACTATTATCTTTTTCAAAATTTACTGCATTTGGATCATTCTTTGTTCCAATTTTAACTTTTGAAGTTTCAAATTCGTCAAAATTACCACCAATAACACCGAAGTGTCTGTATCCAACATATATATCTGTATCCTTATTTACTTGGTAATTAAGGCCAGCTTTCAGTTGATATGCAGGTCTAATTGATGTTTTTTCAAACATTTTTATTCTTGTTCCACCAATTCCAGCTCCAACATAAGGGGAGAAAGAAAATTGGTCATTTTTCCAATGGTGATAAGCGTTTACCATGACAGATGAGTTCTCAATCTGGTCATGATTTGCTATCATTGAATATGCAGCATCTTTGTTATCTTTATCTTTCATATTATACATTACGGTAATTGGTCCGTTTATTAAGCCAATGTTATCTACTTTTACCTGAGAATGCATTCCCTCCAATTCAAACCTACATTCATGCTGTTCAAGCTGTTTTACACCGCCAAGCACTACACTTGCAGAAAATGGAGGATTGTAATTCGGTTTGTAATCGCTGATCGACTGACCTTCTGTGTTTGCTCCAATTCTATCATTTATATTAGCAGCTGTGATATCCTTACCTGAAGAGCTTGTTACCTCTAGCGAACCTGTGTTGTTTAAAAATTGACCATGGTATTTGCCTCCGATGTAAAATCCTTCTGCCAGAGATTGTTGTGATAACAGTAAAGTAAGTGCTGTTACTGATATTGATAATGCTTTAATCATGTTTTCCTCCTATAAAAAA